TTGGACAGGTTTTCATGGCTCCTGTGATACAAACGCATGCTAGTCTCTGGACTTTGCACAAGTTTAGCCTTGCCGTCCGTTGCTCTAGTTTTGTGAACCAGGCAACTGCTCCATAAGTAATCATGGGTCTTACTATCATGGTATACATCCAGCGCAAAATGTTAGGGGAGCAGCCCCATCTATTTCCGGCCAGTCTTCTGCATATCATGAGAGCCTTTATGGCTTTGCTGGTAGTGTTCTTAATATGCCTGTTCCACAGGAGTTTACTGTCCAGGGTTATTCCCAGGTATTTAACTTCCTGTGTTGGCAGTATTTCCTTTCCATCTAGTTGGATTCTTTTCAAGTTTTTCAGACTTCGCCTTCTGGTGAATGGCACTATCGCGGTTTTGTCTGAGTTGATACTCAGCCCGACAGTCCTACACCATCTCTCAGTGATACGGAGTCCTCTTTGGATAATATCACACAAGGTGCCTTCATGTTTCCCCCGAGCGATCATGACTATGTCATCTGCATACCCAATGCAGTGTATTCCCGCTAGAGTTAATTCATCTAGTAGTTCATCCACCACCAAGCTCCACAGCAAAGGGGAGGTTACTCCACCTTGTGGAGTTCCTTGCGTTGTTTTAACAGCTACAGTTTTGGTGCCCATCTGAGCCTCTGCTGTTCGTGTTGACAGCATTTCCCAAAACCAGCGAATAATAGTTCTGTTCACCCCTCTTGTTTCTAGAGATCGCCTGACCACCTTATGTGGTATATTGTCAAACGCCCCCGCAATATCCAAGAAGGCACAAATTGCTGTTTCTTTGCTATCCAGACTTGTCTGTATTAGCTCCGTTAATTGGTACAGAGCAGTTTCTGTGGATCTGCCCGTTCTATATGCATGCTGACTATCATGCAGTGGTTTAACCTCTAGATGATTTTCTCCAATATGGTTGTCAACTACTTTTTCCAGCGTTTTTAGTATGAACGATGTGAGACTAATAGGCCTAAATGACTTGGGATTTGTCCAGTCAGTTTTGCCTATTTTGGGTATGAAGATTACTTTTGATTTATGACAATAAATCATCCGAAAAGGTGGGTGTTAAATTACTTTAAATGGGCGTCTATTTACAGTAATCTGTTTTGCTACCCAACAAACATTTGAAGTTAAAAGTACCCTGGACTATTATTGACCAACTGGAAATTGGTCGAAATTTCCAAGAATTGACGTCAAAATTCCCAAAGTGGGGAATAAAACTAAAGTAATTTGGAAGTTAAAAACAGGTTAACAGGTTATAATGTCTTGTATGAAATATGGGCTATGAAGTCAAAAATAACCGACCTGAGGTCATAACATTGTAAAATAGAGGTGAATTTTACTAAAAATTGTCCTAATTTATACTACCTACATTTTAACATGGGAAAGAAAGAGAAAGAATATGGTAAAGTATTTTTCTTTTTAATATGTGTATGTAAATGAAATTTCCAATAATGAACCTGGAAGACAAAAAAGTGTAATAACTGGCATGGCCGTTTGAACATTAATTCAATATGGATGAAATACCTACATATTATTATATGCACTTCCTAGTAAATGTAAATAAGTTATTGGTAAAAGTGGATTACTGGATTCGCAAGATAATTATGTCTGCGGAGAAGATTTTTCTGTGCGATGTAAATATGATGGCACTAAAAAATTATGCACCATTAAAATTTTATGTATTTTCAACAATTAATTTTAGAATAAATCGTTACTTTCAAGGTTCTAACCTAACTTTTTTTCAGCTAACTTCCTTGGTACACTTTTAAAGTTCTTAATTAGTTAATTTAACTTGTGGTAGGTAGTATTATTCATAAACGTCTGTTTATTTTTCTCAATAGTTTAGAACAATACCACAAAAAATATTTTTTGAAAACAAATTGGATAAGGAAATGGCCGCTAATGGTGTTTTTAACTATTCGTCTATAAAGTTGTGGTTTTTCATAATTTTAAAACCTTAAAGTCCGCTTTCTTTTTATGAGGTTAAGATTTCTTCAAATTAATAACCTTCAAGGTGAAGATTTCTTGCTGAAGGTATTTTTCCTTCGAGGTGCAAGTTAAAAAGTGTGTTATTATAGAGGACTTTTTGTTTTTATTGCACATAATGGACACGTTTAAGATTGTGTCGGTAATAAAAAAGAAATGCATTGAATATTCTTTCGTTCCCCACCAATGGGAACAAGGTAATGTGCTATGACGTAATAATCCCTCGAAAACTATTTTAAACGGAAATCACCCCGAGGAAATTAAAAAGGGTAATTTTTAACCCGGCGTATGTCTGACTTTCTTCCAAGTCAAAAAACTAAGTTACTTTTACCTTTGAAGCATAATAGCGACTTATGAGGTCGAAATAAATTAAATTTTCAACCTAATTTTAACTCCTCCAAATAAGGTTTGATTTAAAGTTATTAACAACTAAATTTTAACCTAACGTGAAAACCAAACAATGCCTTCGACCTCCGAGACAAATTTGAGGTTATAACAAAGTAACATTTGACCCTTGTTTAAGTCCCTGTAGTCTTAATGCCCGCAATAGGTTATCAGTAACTAGATTTTAATAATGCCAGCTAACTCCAACGTTGCTACTTTTCAAAGGCATTATTTTAGGTTATTATTCCCAAGTAACATTTTTCGGAGCCTAAAGTTTTATTAAAAGGTAACGGATATTTATAAGAGGTCTATAAGGAACCTTAACATTTATAAGAGTGTTTAAAGTCTTATAAGAACACTATTGGTGTTAAAAGTTTTGTAACACCTCGAAAAAATACCAAAATACTTGAAGTTTTATAATATTGCATCCAAAATGTTTTCGTTACCTTATTTATAAAACTTTTGGTATTGGTTACTTATGGTTTTTTTAAAAGGGTTTTATAGCGTTCTTAAAAACCTTATTATAAAACTTTTACTCTTGGAGTTTTATAGCTTACTTCGTAAAACTCTTATAAATCCTAAGGCACCTAATAAACATTCTACAGCTACTACAAAACCTAAAGATTTTAAAAAACTTATAGGCTCAGTAGCAACTCCTTTCATGTGTAGAATAGGGGGCGCTATATTTTTAAGGTTAGGTTATGTTTTATGTTCCTGTTTTGCTTTTGTAAATCAAAGATGGAAGAGGAAAGAAAAAGTTGGAAAAAATTAAATACAGTAGCAGTTTTTATAGAAAGTGCGTTAAAACCCGTAAAAATATTTTGGGAAGCACACCACCCACAACTACTAAAAATTACCAAAACTCAGACGTTCCTCAAGAAGATATATTGCCAAATACTTCGACTGAATCGACTGCCACCGATGAAGGAAGGGGCAAAGGACCTTTGGAAGAATGTATAGATTCAAAGACGGTGTTGATTTTCCATCTTCTGTGGTTTGGACAATTTTGAAGTGTATTGAAGGGTTTTGTTTTAATTATTTTGATTAAAAAATTGTTTTGCAAAAGCCAAAGCGCCCGAAACAAAAAGTGGGGTTATAGTCAATGGTCAAGTTTCTATAAAAATCTTTTTGGTAACTTATAAAACTATTAAGTATCACAAAAGCACCTCAGGTTTTATTGGAAGAGCAAAATTCCCATGACACCTAGGGAAGTGTTATAAGAGTTTTTAAAGTGTTGATGATTACTTAAAGGCCCATATAAAACTAGAGGTTTTTAAAAGGCGAAATGGCGAACATGACGTCCTTTTATAAGGCGGCCATTTTATATTTGTGTTGTTGTACTTACACAAAAAAGAAGAATATTGCATTTTAAGCAATATTACCGAAGCTTTAAGACGTATTTTTTCAAAAGCATGGGCTTAAGAAATGTTGCGCAGTTTATTTGCAAAAAAAAACAAATCATGAGACTTAAATTTAATTTTTTGGTTTTCACAAAATAAATTATATTTGAGTTGACTAAACGGGGGCGCTTTAGTTTTAAGAAGGGTAAAATGTTAATATTACTCGATAAATTTTCCGTGCCAATAAAATTTAGTCCTCATAGATTTCTTACAGAGTATTTAAGTTGTTATGATAATTATTATAACACGCCATTTTCATCAAAGTGAAAATCCATTGCTGTCAACTTTAAACTACAAGCAGAATAATAATGACAAGGACTTGAAATAGAATATATTGCAAACAAACGTTGTAGAAAGAGATGAACTTAAAAGGGGCTTTTTTTATTTTGGTGTTTATAAACACTATAAAGAATATAAAGGTTTTAAAGAGGTAACGAAAATGTATTCCTTGCCGCTATAAAACTTATTTATGCTTTATAAAGGTAAAGACAACCTCTTAGTTACCAATAAATGGAGAGTAAAGGTCACGTTAAAGGTTTTATAAGGTACTAAAATTCGGTCACCGTTACCTTTATAAGATTCTCCATTTAAGTGTTATAGGGGTGTTATAAGGGTAACGAAAACGTTTCGGGAACAATTGATAGGCTCTTAGGTTTTATTAAGTAGGTTATCGAAACGTAACCATTACCATTATAAAACAAAAAATGTTAGTTGGGATTAACTAGTTTACGACTTCATTTTTAGATTTCTCGCACTTTATTCCCTACAAGAAATTTGTTAAGTTAAATATAAGTAAAATTCAACCAAATAGTGGTTAATTTTCCGTGGTCAATGGTTTTTTCTCCTTCCTATGCTACTTGGGTAGGTTCATGTGTGTAAAATTTAATAAAAAGTATTCTAAAAAAAATTAAGCAGAGTAAGAAAATTATCTAAAAGATACGTAACATAAATTTATAAAAGTAATGCACTGGTGCTTGCTTAATTCCTCAATCTGATCTTATAATAGGTCAATAATAAAAACTATCTTCTTTAAATATATAAAGTTACTTGAAAAACCCCTGTAGAATAACCCAATAAAGTGTATTCAACACATGAAACGTTTAAAGAAATTTTTTAACGAAAAAACGAACAGGATTTATTTATATATGATTCTACAAAGACTGGCGATATGTTATTTGTGGCGACATCTGCTAGCGCAAATATTGACTTACCTCTTCTTATCTTCCTTCCGGTGCTTCTCGTGGTGTCGATGTCTGTCGTTGTGGTGTCTGTGCGGATTTCCGCTATTGCCAGTGAATAATTCACTCAGCGCACTAATCGGACCGCAAATAGTGTCTTTGTGCATCTCGCACGGTTTCAACACTACCGTACCGTGGGTGCAGTTGGAACAATTCGTGCATACTTGTAGTTCCGCGTTAAGGTACTGTTTTTCTGGGCAAATCGAGGCAAGAACCGATGAAGCTATGACGGTGACCAGGAGTAGACAGGGTGTGGAAACATGTTTCATCACCTGGAAATAAAATATTATAATTATTTCCTATACCCGATTATTTTTTGAAATATTAAATAAAATATGTGTAAAATTGACAAGAACATGATCTTAAATAAGTATTGGTAAAATCATGAATTGCACATTTTAAAAGTTAAAATTTGTGTTATAACATTAACGAAAGTCGACATATTTGATCTGTCTAAATAAATTCATTGGATATTGCACAGGGAAAACAATAAAATAATTTTTTATTTCCGTTTCTTATAAAATTGCCCAAATCTTCGTTATTTAAAATTTAACCTATGTATATTTTTCAATGATATTTCATATTCCTATACCTAAGCCTTCCTGTATTTTAAATAGAGGCAGTCAAAAAATAATAATGATTCTATTATTATACTTTCATTTCAAGAATTTTGTTACCATGATAATTACAGAAATTTAGCAAGTAAATTGTAATCGGTCCACATAAAGTTTAGATATTTGTCATGGTAACTATTTTCTTTAAACTATGTAATAGAAATAACTACAACAGAATGATTATTTTTTAAAAGGCTTTACTAAAGAAACCAGAAGGTTTAAATATAGAAACATGATACGTTGAAAAGCAATTTTTGATTGTGCTTCGATTTTTTAAATAATATACATAAGCTTGAATTTAAAATAACAATGATTTGAGCAATTTAATAACAAACATTTTTCTTAAAAAAATACTACTACCGGTTCTCCACGTACCATAGCCGTGAATCACCCTGTATAGGGGTGTTCCAATTTAAAAAGTCATCCCGATCCGATCACACTTTTGTGAGCCACCTTGTTGACATTAAAATATTCTCCTAAAACGGCCATAATACATACTTAGATATTATTATGCACTTGAACAAAATTCCTAAGTTCTTTTTAAAATACACTGTATAATTTTTGAGTTTCTTTCGCGATATTATGGCAACATACATAGACAGTAAATTAAATTTACAAAAAAAGAAAACCCAGAAAAAATCCAGGGGTTCAATTTTTCAAAGTAAAGTAAGGTTATTTTGGACTTAATAACTGAAAAAGGGTAAAGAGAAAGTATATTTGTTTTATCGAGATCTACCAACCCCGAAAATATTTACACTTATTTATGACTCACGCTGTAGAGCTATAAATTCGCACTGTTAGTTGGGGATACTATCGTGAGAACAGGAAGTACTAGCAAGGTGGTAATTTTGAGAGACTAAAGCAGATGGTCAATCTGTCTTAAATTAGTAAAAACTTATAAAACTTTCAAGTATTATTTTCTGGCTTTTTAATATAGGCAAATAAATTAAATATATGCATTTTTTTATAAAAACATCAATTTTAAAGAATAATAAACACAAACATTTCCTAACTTCAAGCAGATGATCCAGCTATTCTTTGATAATATAGGTTTAAAATTTAAAACAATATTTTCAATATTAAAGTCACACTCATATTTTATGTATTAATGTCAATATGTTATTCAACAAAACATAAATGAACTAAAAGTAAAAACCGAATACAGGAAATATATGATACAAACTTTTGTATAACATTTGAAAAGTTATGAGCCTGCGTTACTCCAAAACTCTACTTCAAAACCAGCTAAATTAAAATATACCCTCTAATTAATATTCATACAAAATCTCGTACAAAAGTTGGCTTAAAATTAATTTACTTCACATAATACCCTCTTCTGTTTTAGAAAAATGTGAATGTCGGTACAAAATATAACATTTCATGCCTTTCATACCATGAAAACAAGTAACTTTACCTAATTATAGCGGGTTCTATTTGACCACAATAGTAAAATAGTAAAAAAATGGCGCTGGGTGTAAAACTGGCAGCTAGTGGTAACGATCGAAAAAGTGGTAAGGACAGCCTACGGCGTGACGCGACGTGTATTTGTGAGTAGTCTACATTAGTGATGGGCATTACGATTCTTTTTAGTGAATCGAATCACATGATTCAATTTTTCATATTGAATCGACTCCTACGATTCGTTCATTTGAATGAACCACATGCACAATTTACGTTTCATAAAAACAAGAATCGTAACTGGCACTATACCACTATATATCACCGCCGCGCCGTAGAAACGAACGATCACATTGTTATCCGATTCAATTCTCAGGATTCTTTTTTACGGCTCATCGTTCAAATGTTCTGGATCCGTCGTGGCCACGATTCAATTGAACGAACCGTATTGTAAGCAATGAATCAATTCTCACGACTCTTTGAACGCACGATCGCATTGTGATCCGATTCAATTCTCACGATTCTTTTTTACGGCTCATATCGTTCAAATCTTATGGATCCGTGCTGGCTACGATTGAATCGAATGAACCGTATTGTAAGCAATGAATCAATTCTCACGATTCTTTGAACGCACGATCGCATTGTGATCCGATTCAATTCTCACGATTCTTTTTTACGGCTCATCGTTCAAATCTCATGGATCCGTGCTGGCCACGATTCAATTGAACGAACCGTATTATAAGCAATGAATCAATTCTCACGACTCTTTGAACGCACGATTGCATTGTGATCCGATTCAATTCTCACGATTCTTTTTTACAGCTCATCGATCAAATGTTCTGGATCCGTTCTGGCCACGATACAATTGAACGAACCGGATTGCAAGCAATGAATCGAATCTCACGATTCGTTTTTAATACTCGTTAAATGAACGACTCGTTCAATCTTTGCCCACCTCTAGTCTACGTGTTAATAAAAAATATTGATATTTTAAAACAAATTTTGTGAAAGTGAATCAAATTATTACGTGTAAAAAACTATTTGTTACACGTACGAAACTATTTGTTACACGTAAAAAAGTATTTTTACGCGTAAAAAACTATTTGTTACACCCAAAAAATATTTTTTATGTGTAAAAACCTATTTGCTACACGTAAAAAAATATTTTTAATTTACTACATTTTCAACATTTCAAACTACACTTTTTCAAACATGTTTTTCAAATTCTTCAATTTAATAGCTGTTAGTAAGAAGTTTCACTTCAAATATGCGCACATAGTGCATACACATTTTTTTCACACAAATTTATTTTATAAAATAAAATTATATCTTTACATATATAATATAATATATAAATCTAAAACAGGAAACAAAAAAAAATATATTTTAATGAAAGAAAAAATGTATTCAAAGTCTTATTCCTATCTCGTGGCTCGCCTTGTCAACATAAAAAAAAACTGAAAAAAGAAACAAATTCAAAAGAAACTTTTGAAGTTTCTTAAATAAAACACGTAGAACCAAACACCAAAGTTAAATAAACTCCGGAAATATTTGTCTCTGTTCTTGTGGTTTATGATAAGAAAACTTTTCCTTTTTCTAGTTTGTTTTGTCTCGCCGAACTAAAACAGTGCTTGAGTAACGAAGACAAAACTTGGGTTGGTACAGAAAATATAACAAAATGAACATATTTCTTGTTTTTCAATTTCTGTCGTTATGCTAGGTTGCAGGTTCTACAGGGTACAATGTTTTTGATGGGATAAGTATTTCAATAAGAATACTATTAAAATTTCGATATTTTCTATTAAACAAATAATTAACCGATGAAATTACTAGGCTATGATTTGTACTCGTATACGTGAAATGTTTTCCAATTACTTTTAATGGCAATTCAAGTTAAACATAAATAGAGACTGATTTATTTCAATATAATCCAATTTAACGCACGACCTATTTCGGAAAAACTGTCGTCCTCCTGGCGCCATTTTAAACAAACAATGCGATAAAAGCGGAAAAGAGTATTTGGTCTTTGTTTAAAATCGTTCCTCATGAACATTTAGTGCGCGAAACGGTTGAGCTTACGTACTATTTTAATCTTATATAACGTCTCTATGCTGCAAACATTCAGAACGTCAAGAACAGCAGAATATCCCTGGTTACCGTTATTGAATATACAGGGTGGCCCATCGAAAACGTTCCGCAAGGCATAACGGCCAGGGTATTATTTTTTTCAAAAAATCCAAAAACACGTCAATTTTGTTTGTGAGGGGAACAACTTTTGTCCCAAAAATGATTGCGAAATCTTCAACCCTCTGAGCGGGGGTGTCATCCCCCAACTTTTTTCAAATGAGAGGGGGGGTCAAGTGGCGCCGCAATGAAAAGAGCTTTCTATTCTCTATATTTCCCCGCCTCGTTTTTGAAAATCGGTCGAGTCATTGAGGAAATGTGAAGGATTAAAATTTGAAAAGTTTATTTAAACATTTATCAGAATAAATGATAAGGATAAATTCCTTCGACCAATTTGAGGTTTATTCTTATTATTTCTAGATGTTTACGTATTTTTTCACTTGCCACAAGGTTGAACGATCAGGTGCGGTAGTTGCTAGATAGCTGTTCTGTGACTTGTGCGTTGAAGTTCTTCTCAATATCGTCAAAACTGACCTACAATAGAATTTCCAAAGGGTTGTCTTCAGCCCAGTACCGACAGTTGTGCCGATTAACTACACCGTCCAAAAAGAAAGTACACTCATCCAAAAAACACACATTAAATAAGAAATTATTATCATTCGCCACTCGTTTACTCATAGTTTTATTTATAATTGCAAGCGACGATCAAAATCGTCTTCGTTGAGTTCTTGTACCAACTGAATTTTGTACGGGTGGAACTTGCGTTTTTTTTAATATCCTTTGGACACTTGTACGATTCACGCCGCGCCGGTCTCATTGGCTAATTTTCTTGTACTCAGCGTACTATCCATGGCAACTTGGCCCAATACGAATACCTCCATAGCTTCATTTACTACAGGATTTTCCCTCTGCCTCTTTTTATTCATAACGGAACCAGTTTCGCGAAATTTTGCTACTAACTCGCGAACAATTTTGCCATAAAGGTGGTTGTCAGAATAGCGTTCATTGAATATATGCGCAACCCGATTGCCACATTTAATAATTTTTAAAATAAAGTTGGATTCTTTCCACTTTTTCTGCAAGTGAGTATACCATAATAATTGTTAAAAAATTTAACAATATTGAGAAGAACTTCA